CTTTGTTCATCTTCAGGTTACTCTGATCTTGTCTTAGTCTCCTTATTCATCCCATCTTTTCCTGCCCCCGTGCTATGGCTTGATATCTGCCTAGCTACCCCTCCTTTGGTGTGTTTCCACATATTATGAAAATGACAAATTTACTGTGAGAGACTGAATGTTCTTATGTTTCCTTTATAGAAGTTATCTTTTTCTAAACCTACATATACATGAAAACCATATGACTGAGTTTAAATGTCCTCATTTAAATTAGACGTGACTTCTCCTGAATGTCAGTCACTATACTTTCCCCATTCTTTTATCTTTTTTATTTTTTTTCTTCCAGTGGAACAACTGGTTTTTTTTCTTTTGAATTTCATCTGTAGATTCTTTCTTGCTTTCTGCATAATGGCATTTTTCAGTTGGTGGCGATGAAGCATCATAATTAGGTTCAAGAGGTTTTGAGGCCCAAGCTCAGGGAATGCTGTGCTGGGTGCTCCGACCAGTTTCATTTTTCCCAACAGGCTCAGATTTAACAACTGTATAATCAAGGTTTCAGATAACGGAGCAGGCTTCCTCCTTTATGTTTCCAGGTGATTCTTACTTCCACATTGATTTTTCTCACATTATTCCCTGTATGAGCTATCGGAAGCTTCATTTCTCTCTTACTCCCTGCCTTTCTCCTTCTCTCCTCTTTGCATCTCTTTGCTTTCCAGCACACCTCTGTGACTGTGCAGCTTCATCCCATATCACCCTGTACACATTCCCTCTCCCTCCTCCCTCCCATCCCTCTGGATCATCCAGATGATTAGCTTTCTTGGCAGATTCACGGATGTCACGTAATTTATTTGGACTTTAAACTCAGAGATCAATTGCCTGATGTCTGCCTTGGTACTATGTTGATTTTATTCATCATTGGCATCCTTGCCTGCTGCTTTCTTATCCTGTGTGCCTGAAGTGGTCACCTTAGAGATTTAAAACACACATATATTTTTTAAGCACTGTGCTACCATATTCTCTGCAATGGTCTGTTTGTTTTCTTGGAAGGGATTGATAGGCTTGAGGGGTAGGAAGAAAGGAGGTCATGAGGTTGATTTTCCATGTCTCAGGCTTCAGGCAACCATCTCACACTACCCCCTTAGCCACATGGATTCCTAACTTCCATGTGTGAGCATGTGTGTGGGATGTGACACTGCCCTTCAGTTGTATAGTTCATTTTGTAGCTTTTATTAATTCACTGAAATCCCTAAGGAACTGAGTTGGTTTTTGTAGTAGTCTGATGAACATGTGGCTTATATGCTTATTGTTTTATTCGCCCAATCTACCAACAGTTGTAGAAAAGCCGTGTTAGAAAATTGCATGTAATGAATAGTGAGCATATAGGACATGCGGTTTTGTGCCAGCTTGGGATAGCTGATACTAAAAATGTGTAGAAACACATACTTACAGATAAAAGGCATTTGCATAAGACTACATACTCATTTTATTGGAGTTTTTAAAAGGTTGTGGTTTTTTTTTTTTTAAATACATTTGCATGTCTTTTTCTACCTGAAGAAAAATGTTCACCTTTTACATGATAAACAGCAGTGAAAATGTCCACAGGACAGTGTAAAAGCCCCACAGGAAGCAAAGATTTGCAGTTTGCTGGGAACCGTCTGATGTGGGCATGATACGTTTTGCTTGTCACCTGGAACTTCAGAACCCCAGATCTTGGAATTTGTCCATTCTGGTCCAGAGTCCCAAGGTCAGAAAGATGATGTTGTCCAGCTGTCCTCCTGTCACTGCCAGCTCTCTGCTGATGGCAGGCTAAAATGCATATACCGTCACTCTTAAAATTTAGCCATGCCGGTGACTGTATCTGCCTGTGCAATGCTCTCTGCTCACCTGTGGAGTCCTCTGGCATTCATGAAAAGCGTGACACACTGCTTTTTTTTTCAGTCTAAGACTCAGCTCTCCCAGCCTTATGTATTTAGCCTTCTTTTTGCTTGCAGAGAGACACATGTAAAGCAGGAACGTTGTAAATTGTACAAAATACTGATTTTGCAAAGGAGAGGGAAATTATTTTACTGATTAGATATTAACAATGAGCATTTATATTACAGAAGTAGGTTTATAAATACACAGATGTATTGCTATCTGGTAGGAGGCTTTGTGGAAGAAAACCATTCCCTTCCCTGTGCCATGATCTGACATCTGCATGCACACAGAGATCTAGATCAGCACGTTTGCGATGTTGTCTGCAGAAAATTCTACTTTAATTAGTTAAAAATAATGAAGTACAACAATGCATTTTGTTTTAATCTGTCTTTAAAACTGAAATACCCAGGTAGTTAACAGTGCTATATGTTTCCTTTATAAAAGCGTAAATGTTTTATCCAGAATATTTGCACTCTCAGGATGATTGAAGAAGATGTAAATGACCTGGCATAGTAAGTCTTCTCTCTTCATGGTATCTGTACAGGTTTCACAGGTTCACAGTCTCTCATGTGAGACTGCCTTTTTGAATTAATTCCTTTTGTATCTCACACAGCTGCCTAACTCCTTGCAGGCACACACACTCTCAGCCCTCCCCCAGACATCTGTTCTGTTTCTTAGTACCAGGTGCCAGAGTTTAAGCTTGTTGGGGGGAGGGACAGTAACAAAAACCTTTAAAAATTAGGTAGCAGTGATATTTTTAATGATATTTGTGATGGAATTTCATTTTTAACCTCTGGCTGTCAGCAAAGAGCCGGTTGAGTAGCGTGAGACCATTCCCTTTCTTAGTCTGGAAACAACCACAGTCATCTACTCTGCTCCTCGCTCTGAACTTGTTGGAAGGGACTGTTATGGTCATCCAGTTGCAGGCTTTCCTCTGAGTCGTGGTCTAACCTTAGAGAAGCAGAATACAGCCTGATATCTTTCTCTGCCATTCCCTACCATCTGCCTCATTTTCCTCTCACCCTCTTGCGCGCATAATGCATCAGAGAAACATGGCCAGGCTGCTTCTGTTTTCTGCCTTCTCATGCAGCCACCTGTCTGCTCGTCTCCCTTTTCTCCATCAGGATAGGGAATATGTAATGTAAGCGATAAGTCTAGAAATGTGGCATAAATGGATTTATATCAGTGTCTACAGGCTGGGTGATGGATCATATGGTATTAAATACACTGAGTCCACATTGGGTAAGGGAAAATCAGGAAGGAGGAAAGAGAAGTTGCTCTTTCTTCTCACCTCTCCCCAGGCACGTCAGCTACTTACTCTTCTAGTCACTGAAGGCACAGAAATTCTTTGTGGTCCTTAGTACTCCTACAGAGGTTTGAGAGAAAACTCTGCATCTTCCAGTGTATTTCCCACCGGCAAAAATGTCAGGAGTGGTTTGGCCACTCACAGGCTCAGGCTGAAGTGAGAAGCTTCAGCAATCAGATGAGTGACTTTCTGGAATGGTCTTAAGATAGTACTCACAGGGCAAAACATGTAACGAGAGCAAATTTAAGGCAGATGGAGTGGAGCACTTTTTTCCACACCAATAATGAATGTGCAAGACCAGAACTTTTGCAGACCAGATGTATGGATTCAAGAAGGCATTAGACAGATTCCTGGAAGAGTGGTCTGCCAATGGCTTCTGAAAATGTGGATCTGGATGCAGTCTCCCAGAATACCATGACTGCTGGCAGCTCAGCAAGTCCATCAGGAATCACTCCATACATGTTTCTTGTGCTCTTTCTTTAAACATTGCTGTTGATTGCTCTCACACATAACATGTTCAACTAAGGTGGGCTTCACTTTAGTAAAGCGCATAGTGGCTCTTAAGATGGAGCTTAATCAATGGATGAAACAGTGTGCATGATAGTTCCTCCAGTGTTTTTAGGGGAATGATCCCATAGGTCCTTCCGATAGTTTTGTCCCATGCCTGAGCAATCTCCACAAGGGTACGATAGCCTGCCACCTTAATGAAACACTGCTGTACACTCTGAAACACAAAATGGTTGTCCCTAGGAGTGCTCATTAGCCAGTGCCCGAGCATGGCAATTTTTTGGGAAGCTCGAAGATGCAAAGCTAATGCGGTTGTTAGAGAGGATGGGTAACAAAAGGGATGGTTACTGAGAGGCACGGTCTGTTTAAGGGTTTTATGCTCTATGAGTTAAGTCTGAAAAGGACAAACTGAATAAGGAGTCGCTAAGCCTTTTCTACTGTGGAATTTGCCTGCCCTTGGTAATATTCCTTCCTGCCCCCATTTTTGTTTGTACTGATAAATTTCCTTGCATTAATAAACTCATAATGCATCTTGTTTATCCCTTCAAAGCCAGCCCTTGCAGCTTTCATTAGCATTTTAGGATATTTATGGCTTTGTAGATGACTGAAAATCTGCAATTTGTCATTAGGAATTAAGAAAAATCTTCCTTCTACTGCAGGCTGAAGCTCAGCTTTGGCCTTTGAGGGACTGAGCCACCTCTGGGCCTCATAGACAAAAACAAAGTCAGACAGTGCCCAGATTTACAACAGCAAGTGGTTTTTAGTTATTCAGATGTCTTTGATAATGTGTCATCCGCTGTTGCTGGCAGGGATCAGTGTTTAGGCTCAGAATTAATTTCTCTCTAGCTGAAGAGAAAACAAAAATATCCCTTTTGCAAGAGCAAAAAGAGAGAGAGATAGTAACAAGGAGAGAAATGAAAACCGCACAAGGCACATGTAAAAAATACATGCATATATATATGTTTCTCATATACACACTCCAAAGGTTAAAGTGCTGTTCACAAGAAAACGTCGTTTTTCACTCTGCTGTGCTCTGTACTTTCAACTTTGAAATACAGGAAGTTAAGAAAATTTTTTAAGGTTTCAGAAAGGAATTTATCTTGTAATTGGTGAAGGGCTAGAGTTGGATGGGGAGTGATAATAATCAAAGGAGCCTTTTCAACACTAAGCTGTAGTCCAGAAAATCAAAGGAAGGAATGTTAATTGGTTTGTACAACATGATATTCTCATTTCAGAGTAGCTTCAGCCACTCAATGGTACTTTTTTCTTTTTTTTCTATCTGTCTCTGTAGGTTGATTAAGTGAATAGAAAAAATAAAAAAAGAAAAACGAAGCTACTTTCAAGTATTGAAGATACAAGGCCAGGATGAACACGAAGGACGGAAAAGTGTCTGAAGGAGGTCTCAATGTCACGCTTACCATACGCCTTCTCATGCACGGCAAGGTGAAGCATTTACTGTGTGTTGAGTGAGTTTGTGCAGTTACCATCAGAACCTGAGAGTAACATTGACAGAGGGTCTGCTCCTCCTCCGACTTGAGTCAAAAGCACAATTGCCATGACCAAGAAATCACCCCCTGCCTTTCAAGGGATCCTGCTGAAGTTCACACTGCAGCCCAAGTTCATTGAAACAAACCCTGCCTGTAACAAACCCCTTTTGAGCAGATCCAGAGGCGAAAAAGGGGTTCTTTCACTGATAGTTAGCCAAATTGGGCAGACCCTTGCACAAGGCTGACTTGCATACAGCTTGCCTTTCTCATCATTTGCTGGGTTTTGCAGGACTTTTTTTGAGATACCAGAACGTTGACTTGTGTGAAATAATTGCGACAGAGTTACTGTCTATTTCTGTTGAATGCAAATAGGATAGTTCTTCATTATTCTGATGTAACATGTTATTAGAGTGAACCCCCTGGTACGCTAAGGGTTTGTCCAGATCCCCTGTGGGTTTGTTTTGGAAGACTGAGTGTCATTTTGTTTCTGTCCAGCACAGCACTTAAGCATGCAGATAAGTGTGAAATCTGTGCCACAGACAAAGTGCCAGTTCAGTATTGTCATACTTAGCAGTCTGATCGCTGCTTATTTCACATTGCCAGATCACAAAATGGGCTTTTAATTAAAAAACACATTTCATAGATTTGTTTGTAATATTTGCATCAGGCAACACCAGGCTTAGTGAATGAATGTTATATAAAGGAGGTGGTTTGGGTGCTTTCTTAACAGGGAACAGTGAACATATATATGTGTTAATCTGGAGATTAAATTTATATATATAAATCTAAAAAAGTATTTTTACTCCTAGAATTTAATTTTAAAATAAAATACTTTTACATTTTAAAATAGTGGAGGTTTTTAACGTATAACATGAACACACGTGTGATTACTCATAGCACAAATTGGAGACTAAGGTATCTCCCTCTGTATTTTATTTATGGAGAAGTATGAGGGGGTACAGCTTAAGTTTGCAAATTAAAAACCTCGGAAATTAGGTTATGTCAGATCAAATTATGTTTTTTCTCAGAAATGATCTAACCATTTTGTTTGATTTTTTCCCCTGAAATATTCAGCTTCAGGCAGGCATCTGGTGTGTAAATCTGAATCTTAAATAGGGATCTGTCAAACAAATTTAATAACACTTTCTCTTTAGAAAACCCACCTAAAATCTGTACACGTGTCTGCTCAAAATTAGGTCTTAGGGATTGATTCTACTGGGTTCTGGTCCCAGTCTATGAAAGCATTTGAACACATGCTTATCCCACTGGGTATAAGCAGCCCTACCGGTTGCAGTCAAATTCCCATGTGCTTAGTCGTGTTTTGTTTTTTGTTTTGTTTTATTTTGTTTTGTTTTTAACCACTGTCTGACAGCTCTACTTCTTTCAGAATCGTGTAATTTTCAGGACGTTTTACTTAAACAGTGGGTTAGGATTATTAGGTTTTTTTAAATCAGAAATTAAATCAGATAATGCTTGTTTTCTCTGTTAAACATCATTGATTGTGTGTGCAACCTCTTATAACAATAATGGATATTATGTGTCCAGTCTTCTATGCATATGTAGCCCCAATCCATAAAAGCTACCAAGTTCAAATTTTGACTGGAACTATACCATGCATCCTAACTTAACAAGGCATGGTGGGTATACCACTAGCTCCACTATGCTCTAATCATGTATCCTGTTGTGCCTAAGTATTGCAAAGAGTACATTAAATCAGAATTTATTTTGGTGATAAAAGTCAGACCCTTATGGTTTCTTTGATGTAATTTCTATGATTTAGGAGTAATAATACAGAGGAATGAAGGATGTCTGAGTCAATATGAACTCAGTGTGAGAAGACACTCTGAAAGCTGTATGTGCCTCTGAAAAAGAAGAAACAAGTTTCTAGGCTCTTCCTCAAGATTTGTTGTGGTAATGATATCAGTGGAAATTGCTGATCTCTAATTAGTATTTCTAGACAAAACAATTAGCTGAAGCAGAGCTTGGTCTGTAAATAACTGGTCAAAGCTTGAGAGAGAAGAGGGGAAATAAAAGGTTTTTAAAAATAGCAGTAGCAAACTGGATTCAGTTATTTTTGAATTAAGCTAATTTTAAAGTTACTTATTTATTGATGTCTTTCATGGAAATATGAGGATCTCTCCCCACTATCCTTAACTCTCTGTCGGTAAACCGTTATTACCAGTGTACCTTTGCATAGGGAAATTCTATGTGTTTTGTGATATTTGCATTCATTTTGATTGAAAATCCATAGCTTATGCTTGGTTATCTCAGCTGTAAATCCTGCAGACTTAGGAAATTTTCAGTGTGTACTTTTAATGTAACTTGTGTAGAGGCATAATGTCAAGGATGGACATCTTAATTAGGCAATTAAGGTAAATTCTATACCTGCAGACAAAAAAATTACTATTTGTATGAATGGACAGACCTCTGCAAGATGGCAGGGAATTAAAAAGCAACAACAGCAAACAAAATAAATAGCAAAAATAAAAGACATTAGTGTCTGGTGAAAGGAAAACAAATGGGAACAGTCCTGCAGTCTGGGAGAACCGAGGGCCAGTGCCTCCCCAGTGCAGATAGAACACAACTCATCAGCACCTCTTCTTTGTCTTGCTTTGAGGGAAGAAGCAACTGTAGGGCCAGCTGAGTTCCTGCATGGTTTTGTGCAGCCTCCGACTGAAAAGGCTGGGAGGACCAACTAAACTGCTCACCCACAGTGTAGTAAGGTTTGGGAGTAGCCAGCTGGCAACGAGGCAAGGCACAGCCGTGATATTCTCAGAAAATGTGGCGTTAAGGAAGGGCAGCAATTGCTTTATCTATGGAAGTGGAAAAAGGGCTTGTGTGGGCCCTGCAGAAAGCTAACCACTGCAAGGTATAAAAGGGCAACCTCAGGGTAACCTCAGTGTTTCCAGGGTCTGATATAAAAGGTGTCCTGCTCAGCCAGGACTTCAGAGATTTTGTGATGATGTAAGCTGAAAGGCCTAGTTTCATCTTGTACCATGTTAGATCAGTAAAAAAATTATGATAGTTTGACAGCCCTGAAGAGAAACCAGGAGCAGCACAAAACATTTGTAATACTTTCTTGCAGTGAATTAGAGGGCAGGTGTTAGGGAGGATACTACAAGGGCAGTGCTCAGGCATTCTTTGCATCTGCAGAGAAGCAACTGTCAGTGTTTGCAGGAATTATTAAAAGCAAGATTAGGAAAAACTTGTTAGGTGGATTTGTGAGGAGGGGAGGAGGCTGTCTGGGCACGCTGCAGCATCCATCACTGAAGGTTTCTAAGGACAAGTTAGACAAAACTGAATTCATCCTGTAAAGCTGCCATGGCACTGCAGCCTTTTCTGCTCGGGACCTTTTTGACTGAGTTACCTGAATGGTGCTTCATAGAGGTCAGGAAGAGGAGAGCCTTTTGAAGCATATGCAGAAGTTGGATATATAGAATATACTAAATAATGCAGATATGCGTTCTCATCTCTTATTAATGAGAAAGATGTACCCCATTTAGAAATAAAGCTGTTTAATGGATTTCAGTAGAGAAAAACAGAGAATATGGAGAATATGGAGCTATTTACAATGCCTACTTCTGTATTTTCCATCTAATTCCTGCTGTTTCTTGAAGTAAAGTAAGTAAAACCTCTGTGTAGGACAGAGACATGAATGGATATGGGTATTTTATTTTCTTTGTCTACTTCAAAAGTAGGCAGGATTGGAATATTGCAGGGCTTGCAAGATTTCTGCTTCCAGCAAAGGCAGTATTTACCCAGATCAGATCAACATTTTTGAAGGACTTAAGGAAGACAAACTGAGTGTATGCTGTCAGAGCCCTCTGTATGGAGAGGCAGAGCTCGGACCCCAGAAGAACTGTCTTTTTCTTCCTTTTTAAATTTTTGTGAAAATAGAAATTTTTTTGGCTCTCAGCATATATGGAGAGAGAGAGAGAGAGAGAGAGAGAGAGAGAGAGAGCTCCATATTTCTCTCTTACCATTCCTTGCTCACCTTTTGCTGAATTTTCTATTCCCATGACTTGTGGCTGTCTTTTTAACTTGCTTACTGCCACAGGTAATGAGGTTGGAAGACTGTGGAAAATTGTAGCCTTGCCCACAGGTATCTGCCAACATACCTTAGTACTTGGCATCTGCAGTGCTCTTGTTCTGATTTTGGTCAGTTCATGCCCAGAAAGAAATAGCACCTACTTTGACTATACTGGATAATGATTACATGAATTTGGGCTGGTTGGGTTTTGTACGCAGTCAGTGTTAACAGACTGGTTAAGACCCTAGAGACTCACCATTAAAGGTTAATTTTAGATGTGGATGGTAAGAGACTGTGCTGGTAGAAAGATCTTAAATCTCAGGAAAGTAGCTTAATGGAGGTTTAAAAGCCAGGTCCATGAGGTGGAACCCGAGAAAATGTTCAAATGGGCCAGCATAGAAAGGCCGGCCGGGTCACAAATCCACTCCATCTGAGTCTCCATCTCATAGCAGTGGCACAGGAGTCTCTGCTTCTTCTCACCTGTACAAACCTGCAGAAGAAATAATGCATTGTTTCCAAAGGCACTGTGTGAACATGAGCATTGATGAAACCGTCTTACTGAAGACTGTAAGAAACCAAAGTAGAATATGGTAATGTATGGCATCTGAGGAATCTTTTAGAGAAAGGGAATGGAATTCAGAAATAAAAACTAAAATGAATTATTGAAGTTGGATGGTTAGGAAGAACAAGGAAGTAATTTACAAGTAGGATGAAGGAGGGAAGGGAAAGCTGGCAGGGAAGCAGGACTCTTGCCAAATATTGAGAGGTGTAAATTGGCGAGTTGAGGCAATTAACTGGAGAAGGTAATTTAGAAGATACATGTTCAGTGACAGGAGGAAATCTGGAAAGCATGAAAAGTTGAAAAGCATCAGATGTGGCAGTGTCTAGAGAGTGGCACATCTGGGATATGCCAAGTTGGAGAGTAA